AATATGCTGACATCAACAATTCACACGGAATTGAGACACTTCCCATTGGGAAGTACAACAAAATTAGAACGAAGTAGGCGAAAAAAATGGATGATAACCTTTTCAAATTCGAGTTTAATAGGTGGTCGAAATTTCTTGCTCACTTCAAAGGCAGCATGTCTACCAAGCTCCATTGCAGTTGCAATATCTTTCACACCAAATTTCACCATCACCGAATCTGTATCGCCATACACCACCTTAATCCAGCACATATGCAATAACCGATGAAATTTTTTGCGTGGACACAAGAAAGAGCACGAGTGTGCAGAAGAGAAACGAATTCAAATTACTTGTGCATCGCAAGGGCACTTCCCGTCCAAATAACCCTTCTTATAGATCTCCTCAACAGTTTTCTTCGTGAAATCGATCATCTGCCTGCCAAACGCAGTGACCGATTGCGAGATTTCTAGGCACGGCAACTTTCCAACAGTTGCACCAGTGAAGCCGTACACTGAGTTTGCCGATATTTTCAGCGCAAGTTGTCTGCCATTCAAAACCATACAACTGCAATTGATAGCATATTGATAATACTGATGCGATTTGTAATTCGCTTGAAATTTGATTGATTCGCTTGAAATTGCCTGAGAAGTGAAGAAATGCTGACCGGAATGGGTCTTTCTCTTGCTTCAGATCAGCTTTTGCTTTCTTCCTTGCCGACAGTAAATCTTCGAGAATCTCGGGTAGCAGACCGCGACGCCTTGACGCCTTCACGAAACGATTATTCGACGGCGACACTTCATAATCGTCTTCTTTCAAGCTGTAATTTTCATCTCCAATTTCGACCAAATGTGAGACAAACTTCCGAAGCGAGACGAGTGTAAACGCTCGATGTTTTCAAAAGAGACGCTGAATCCAAAGCAACTTTTCACTCGAATACTCACTTTCAACAACTGCTATGTTCTGCATATGACCACAGCACTAAAGTGTTTTTTTCGAAAAAGATAATTTCATACTTATGAGATGCCGGATTGCCGTGAATTAGTGTCGTATAGCAAATGTTATGAGCAATCATAATCGACGGATACAACGACGCAAAATCCAACGTTGCAATCGGTTCGGCGTAAAAGCCCCGGATTGGTTCGATTACAGTGGCACCCTCATATGTATCGTCAGTTGGCGCTACGTCCATCACCGGTATGAAAAAATGCCGTGATCTAGCCTGGAATTAAAACAACACTTCAACTAGCCTGAACAGTAACGATGCCATTATAAGCGAAACTTTCGAAGACATTATTAATAATAATGCTCATTATCAGAATATCATCATAAGCACTAAACACGAACAAAAAATAAACACCTTTCTCATAAGCTGTGACATAACTTTGACTTGCTGCCCTCTCGTCAGTAAATAATCGAGTGGTACACCCGTTACACGTGCCATCTCAACGTAGTTGATTACGGACATTAGTTTTTGCAGAAGACGTAACGGCAAATACGCGTCTTTCATACAATACACGGCCAATCGACGTCGTGTTAATGCGGTACCATTCTGCAATTTACGATCGATTAAGCTTATTACTATCGTTTAGAATCAATCAAGTTTGATCAAAATATGAATTCGTTACGAAAAAATTCACCTGAAGATCAGCAATCAGTGAGTAATCGACGTCTTCTTTCTGTTCACCAAGAAAGTTATAACTGACACTATTCAGCGAGTAACTACGCAGTTTATAGTCCCGCAGAATAACCTAAAACAACTGCGTAATTCAAAACAAATAAGGAAAAAATTTTTGCAACACTGACCTATTGTATAATTTTCATACCAATTTCCTATCGACAACGCACATTCACACTTTTCAAATTACAAAACGCAAAACAACATTGCCGAATGCAGGGATCGAACCTGCGACCTTCTGTTTACAAGACAGACGCTCTAACCACTGAGCTAAGCCGGCTGCGCTCATATGCAACAACATACATTAAATTTTTACACTTCCCTCTCGAGAAAATTACTAAAGTTATCTGGAACTTCCACTTTCGAGAGTGGGATCAACAATGGCATTATAATACACTACAAAGTGTTATTTTTCATAAAATTAACGTTTTCATGCAAACAAAGCTTTCAGTGACCTGCATAACATCGAAAGTAACACGTCCCTCCATATTTGTGCATTTGTTCGTTCGATTACCCATTTGTTTACTTGAAATGGGCATCTCGCGAACTTTTGATAGCGAACTGGGAATACGTCCCAACATTGTCACCTTATTCTCGATCTGAAATATCATTTAGGGTCACTTCAAAAACTGCAATTCGGAAAACATTCATAATGATTCTGAGATGATAAAGTGAAAATATTTTAAATGTCATTGAAATAAACTGCTTTTCCGCAAAAAAACATCCAAGCATTTAATTGTTTTATGCCTCACATCTTTGAGAATCTCCTTACCATCTGTTAAGGAAAGTATCAAAGAATGATTCTACGGTTCTATTTATCGCCGATAATTTTAAGACGTATGACTTCGAACAACTCCTCAAAAGAGGAAATCAACCACAAAACATTTCAACAAATTTAAAAACTTACTTTCAACGCTTTCGCTCGATCGATGATATAGGGTATATCGAAATTCTGAATGTTGTATCCTGTGATGATATCTGGATCAATGATTCGTACAAATTCGGCCCATTTCTACAATAAGGCACTTCCTTCTCATTATAACAAAATTGAATGAAGTGAATATATTTTGAAGTTGGTCAGGAATTTTGCATTTGGTAGTCAAACGGTGAAACAGCAAGAATTATAAAGAAAACAAAAAAAAGAATTCATCAAAAAATACTTCGAGCAGTTCAGCTTCGTTCTTGCAAACGATAATTTGACTTCCGATAACAGGTGTCGTATCACCGATCACAAAACAATTACGTACGAATGGCTCATCGCCTCCTTCCACTTTAACCATATTCGCGATTTGAATCACCGCATCTGTGTGTGCTTCAGGAAATATCCCTTAAAAATATCACTCACATAAAAGAGCATTTCGAGATCATTCACGCTGTCAATAACAATTTTGAACTGTTGTTCCCTGCGATGAATCTGACAATAAATCATCTTATTAATGCGACCATCAATCACTCTCAGAAACCAACCTCTTCTATTCGTACATTCGATATCAAACGAAAGTATTCGCAGAGGAGCAATCTTCGACCATTCAGCAGATGATTCTGGTGCGTGCACGATGAGATCGTCGTATCGAATGGTACACTGAAAACAATGCAATCCAATTCCTTATACAGAATAAAAACGATAACAATCATTCTTTAAAGTGATTAAAATAAAGTTTCACGCGAATCGAATACCTCAAATTGACATCTACTTTGCATTCTTTGTTGACTGACAATATCATATTTGTGTTTTGGGAGCACGACCCAACCACATCCAACCAAATTCATGTCGACCATGAAACGAATCTCAAAATCAATATTGGCTTCGAAACACTGCCACGACTTACGATCCCCTTTACCGCTTAGGTCGATGCCATGTTGAAAAACTCGACGACCTGGAATTGAAGAAAAAACAAATGGATTATTTAACTGTTCCGCTGAAAACCTAAAAGCACCATAAATAAAAATCCTAAAACAACGAATGTAAACTCACAAACTGCGAAAAGTTTTGGTGTGCGAACGAAGACTTTCAGAAACTTCTGTTTGAGATTCTCTCGATACGCATAGATATTTGCACCAGTGGTGATCTCCAAATCAACGATTAAATTCTCGACATTTTTTGGTATGCCAATTGCTGACAATGACTCACCCTGAAACAATCAAATTTTACGTATCAAAGCCCATTTACGACAGTCTCCACAAATCAAGTGAATCCGAGAACTAACCTTAAGAGTCTCATTGAGATGATTTTTGGCTCGTTCGATATATTCCGGTAGGAAGCTTTCATCGATCTGCACGTAGAAATACGGCACAAATGAATGCACTTGTATACAAACTGAATGCTCACTCATTGTCACGCCAAACAAACGAACGATCACGTTGTCGTGCTGATCCATGAAGTAGTCGATATCGACAACTTGTAAAGCAATATCTTGCTCGTTCGACTTCCCAAGAATATCATCAATCGGAGGACGTGCCCATTTGCATTTTTCTTGGCCATCACTACTGAGCTGAGACGACTGAGAGCACGACTGTGAACTGCAATCATCCGATTGTGATCCCAACGAAGCCAAACGTGCCACAAATGTGGATGGTTGCTCTTCATCGGCTCTGAAAATAAACAAATAAAAATACGTTAAAATTATACAAATTAACAACCATTAACCAGATTTCATTTCGAATTAAAACCGAAGTTGAGCAATGAAACTTTCATCATATTGAATTATTCGATGAAATGTCGAAATTTAGTATCATTCCATGATCGGCATACCAAAATTTGTTCAAAGAAAAAATTTTTTTATGAAGAAATGAAGAAACGCGAACAAAAACGAACTTGTGTCGCTTTATTTTCGGTTGAACCGATGGAGTTACTTGGCGCTTACCCACCGGTGGTGCCATATTGCCGACTATCAGTGAATCCTTTTTCGGTGAACAATATCCTCAAAACGTGTTGCAGATTCGCTGAAGAACGGTGTTTACGAATGGTGAACGGATTCAATAAAATGAGTGGGTGAAGGTCGAATTAACAAGCAGATTTCTATTAACCGTGATATCGGATTCGAAGTCTTAAATGTGGTAATCCAAAAGCGCATTCATAAATTATGGAGAAGAGGAAGTTTCGAAAAGCAAAATGATACTGAAGGAATGCCGAAAATGAAAGTAAATGAGTAGATAACTGGGATTAGTTCTTTGCCATACTGATAACTAATAGAACAATGTGAAGTGCAACGATAATTTCAGGATAACAACATAATCAAACACCTCAGACTTTAGCTGGAAACAACCACGGAAAAATCCATAAAACTTTTCAAGGCCTTCATTTCCCGCATAAATCAACAAAGTTCGACACACAATTTGAATTGCCGAAGTTTACCGAATCGCACATCTGGGGTTGGTAACAGAAGC